ATCATCTCACGAAAACGGGTGAGCGAGGAAAGTGGCTCTGATACCAGGTGTTATGAATGAACAAGCAGAGTAGCGCGGAAATGAATAACGAAGTGTTCACTCAATGAATGACGATACAGGGAATGGCAATCCAAGATATAGGAACACCAGAGCTAGTCTAAGCCTGCGATGGTAAGGTTCGGGAAGGAGATCGAAGGGTCTCGAAGTGACGAAGCGAGGCCCGGAGAACTCCCGAAGGTCGAACCGAAATGGTCTGGAGAAGCCGAGGCGGTTCTGTCAGAAGGTCTGGAACAGTCCCGAGGCTTCGGGTGTGTTCGAGTGTACGCGATAGCAGTACCGCTCGGTAAGGAATGGAAAATTCCTTACAGTGTTCCTACGGCCTCTTCCCAGGCCAGCCTCTTTCCCAACTCGCGCACTACAGTGCGACGTAGTTTGGCGCGAAATTGACGTGGAACGGTGTGTTATGAAGTGATGAAGCAAGAAAGGAGAAGGCCGCCATCATGGCGGCCGAGGTTTAGCTAGGAAGATTGACGAGAGAGAAGGGAGTTAGACTAGAAGAGAATGAAGCACAAGAAGGGGAGTTATCCCCTCTATAGTAGGAAGCAGTTTGTAGCACAACTATCAAGCCTACAATTATATAAAATATAATTTGAACACACCCCCTAGGCTTGGTAGTGGCAAGCCCACTCAACCCACACACACACCCCCTAACCCCGGACATCCTCATTCTCGTGAGCAGCCGGGTATCGACTCCTCGTGCTAGGCGATGACACCCCCGGACGAGAGGCAGCTGGCCGCATCTGGGCGGCCTCAATGACGACAGCGGCGGAGCTCCTGCTCAAGGCGGCTGTGTCGATGAGGACAGGCGGCGACTGCGGCGGCTGAGGGCTCTCGGCGGTGTGGCACGGGCTGGCGACGATCGAGCCGAAGACAGCAGCTACGGCTGGAGCAGGAGGAGATGCAGGGGAGGGAGAGGTGGTGGGGCTGCTGTGGTGGGGCTGCAGGACTTCAGCGTGGCGCCATAGGCGCGGCGCTTACTGGCGGGGCGAGGAGGCGCGACGGGGCCCAGGAGGGGCGCGACGGGGCTAGGGGGCGCGACGGGGCCCAAGAGGGGCGCGACGGGGCTAGAGGGGGCGACGGGGCCCAGGAGGGGCGCGACGGGGCTAGGAGGCGCGACGGGGAGGTGGAACGGCGGAGCCGCCACGTCAGGGCGGCAAGCCCAGCACGGCTGCTCGACGTGGCAGCCATGCGACGAGGCCGCCATGGCACCTCGACATGGCCGCCACGGCTGAGTGTCGAGGTCGCCATGGCAGCGCGGCGAGGGACGGCGGCGGCACTAAAAGGACGGTAGAAAAGCGCGGCGGAAGCGTGAGGAGCAGGCCCGCTAGAAGCGAACCGCTCTGATACCATGTTATGAAGTGATGAAGCAAGAAAGGAGAAGGCCACCATGAAATGGCGGCCGAGGTTTAGCTAGGAAGATTGACGAGAGAGAAGGGAGTTAGACTAGAAGAGAATGAAGCACAAGAAGGGGAGTTATCCCCTCTACAGTAGGAAGCAGTTTGTAGCACAACTATCAAGCCTACAATTATATAAAATATAATTTGAACACGGTGCAGTACGGTTCCGCGCAGTGTGACGTGAAATTGACGCAAAATTTACGTGAAATGGGCTGGGCATTGCCGAGATTCAGGCGAGGGAAAATCTGGGAAAAGGTTGGCCTGGGAAAGGCCATATGAACACGCTCTGAGGGCGCATTCCTATGAAGTAGGATCAGAATCAGTAATGTTCCTGATCCTGCCGTTTTGCTACGAGCAGAACAACAGTCCTAGAAAACGATCGCTAGTGAGTTTCGTGTGCGACCTGGATGTTTCGCACGATCCTACGTGTACACCCCTTTCAACACAAAAATATCACATCGACTGCCCAAACTTGAACATGCAAGTTTACAGTAGGTACAGTTGTAAAATCCTCGCCACGCAGAACCAGACAGGGAAGTGCGCGCTCCAATCACGAGCAAGGGATTTTCGTTTTTTTTTTTGCCCGCTACGTGCCATATGTGAATTTTGTTTTCCGTTTTTTTTTTTTTTTTTTTTTTTTTTTTTTTTTTTTTAAATTATTATTTAGATTTTCGTTTCGTTGCACGTCGCTCGTCAGCGCGCTTTCGTTTGCTTGGCGCGAGTTGGGGCCGCTCCCCAATGTGTTTGTAGGACCAGCCAATCGGACGTCCCCGTGCGACGCTGAGGTGGCTGCCCTCGTTTCTAATCTTGGCGGAACATACAGGAGGGGAGATCAATAATGAAATTTGTGTTTCTGATTCTGATCCTACTTTGTAGGAATGCGCCATAAGTATGTGTTAACGTAGAAACGAATGATTACTAGAGGTGGAAACCTAGAACAAATACTAGTTGGTTGTACTCACTAGAAGCATACCTCAGTCTAGCCTATAACTTCTACATAGATAATATGTATAAGTTGACACACCCCCTAGGCTAGACAAGGGGTGAAACTAAACAAGAAGCAAACAGCTCAGGGCGGCACTACTAGTCCAACCACTGAGGCAGGGGTCTGGAGACCAGTCAGCAAGAATACAACCAAAACTGAAGCAAGCCAGGGTGGCACTACTAGTCCAGCCACTGGAGGTAAGGCCACAAGGCCAGTCTGACAAGCATATATAATAGAGAGTACACAATCAGGATCCTAACAGGGGAGCAGCTATAGGAACAAGACCAAGCTGTACACAGTGCCGCTGATGATCTTTAGGCGCAAGCGCCTTAGTAAAGATATCAGCTGTGTTGGCACCTGAGGCCAAGTGAACTACGCGGGCCTGGCGGCGCTGCTGTAGCTCGCGCAGGAGGAAGTACCGCAGCTGGATATGCTTCGCTCTGCCCTCAAGCCGAGGCTCCTGACACAGGAGTATCATGGCCCTGTTGTCAGCGTACAGGACCGGGGCAGAGCTAGGCCGCTCACCTAAGTCTGTGAGCAAGAAGGTCAGCCAGCGGAGCTCCTGTGCCGCCATGGCACCAGCGTAGATCTCAGCCTCACAGCTAGACTGAGCCACAGACGACGAGCGAGTGGATCTCCAAGAGATAGCACCCGAACCAAGGCTGAAACAGTAGCCCTGCGACGACCTGAGCGTCTCAGCGTCGTCTGCCCAAGAAGCGTCTGTGTGCCCAGTAAGGACCACTGGCCTGCGTCCTCCTAGCACTAACCCCATGCCTGATGTACTAGCAAGATAACGCAAAACCCTCTTAGCGGCAGACCAGTGCTGAGGTCGGTGTGTGCCTGTAGCCACAAAGCGAGCCAGGATGCTGAGAGGGTATGCGAGATCTGGGCGAGTGCAAGTCATCAGGTACATGAGGCAACCCACCAGCTCTGCGTAGGGGCCACTGGGCTCTACTGGCTCCTCAGGAACGGGAGCAGAGAGCCCATGGTCTACGGGTAGAGGTGTGGGCTGTGCGGAGGAGAACTGAAGACCGAACCTCTGAAGGACCTGACGCACCAAGTGTGACTGGGTCAGAGTGATGGTGCGTGCTGCTCTGTCCCTAGAGATCTGCAAGCCAAGATAGCGACGCAGCTCTCCAAGGTCAGTGCAGGTGTGTCTCTTCAGCAGCTCAGCCTTCACAGAGGCCAGTGCGTCCCTGTCAGGAGTAGCGAAGACCAGGTCGTCTACGTAGACAAGGATGTAGAACGGAGTCTGGCCGGAACGCACAAACAGTGAAGGGTCAGCAGAGGACGGAAAGAACTGCAGGTCTGCTAACGTGGCACGTAGCGTGTCGTGCCACTCGCGGGGAGCCTGACGCAGGCCGTAGACCGGGCGCCTGAGAAGCCACTGGGTCCCAGGAGGGAAGGTACCAGTGAAGCCCTGTGGTCGGCGCAGGTAGACCTGCTCGTGTAGGCTGCCCTGAAGAAAGGCAGTAGAGAAGTCGAGGGAGTGAAGCTCGTAGTCACGCTGTGCTGCTACGTGTAGCAGCGCCCGAAGAGTGGTCATCTTCGGGGTCGGGGCGAAGGTCTGGAAGAAGTCAACCCCCTCGCGCTGACTGAAACCTCTGGCCACGTAGCGCGCCTTGAAGACAGGCGGCTCTCCAGGGGGGCGCTTCACCTTGAAGAGCCACCGACCATCGACTACGTTCACCCCAGGCGGGGGAACTGCGTCGACGTAAGTGCCGGTGGATCTCCAAGATGCCATCTCCTGCTCCATGGCAGCTATCCACTGAGAGGCCCAAGGTCCCGAGGTGGCCTCAGCGTAGGTGCGAGGGGTCGGGATGTCGAAGGCGTCTGGGTCACCCTCAGGGACTAACAGCATGGAGCAGAGATGGGGAGCAGCCTCGGAAAGGAAAGCCAGCTCGTACTGCCTGTCCTCTAGGACGTCACTGCCAAGGGCAGGAGCACCCCCGACGGACAGAGGACGGGCAGGGTCAGAGACCAGAGCGGTAGCGTAGTCAAGGCGGCGGGTAGAAGCGAAGTCAGCGACAGCAGCGACAAGCGCGTCAAGGCGCGAGACAGGAACAGCAGGGTCGGTAACAAGAGAGGCAAGGACCCGAGGGACAAGGGGACGAGCAGCACGGAGGTAGTCAGAGAACGGAGGAGGTGCAACAGCAAGGGACGAGGGAGGAGGGGACGGGAGGAGGGGAGGACGAGACGAGTGGGAACGGAGCAACATAGGGTGGGTGGGCAGGACAGGAGAGACGGGACGAGCACGGGAGGGACGGCGAGCCCAAACGTGAGACGGAGGGGTAGGGTCAGGGGACAGCGGAGGAGACACAGGAGGGGAACGAGGAGGAAGACGGGCCGGAGACGAGTCTGGCGGCGGGAACACAGGACCGTAGACAGGGAGGTCAGGAGGCGGTGGGGGAGACACCGGCGCGCGGTGGGGTTCCAGACGTTTCAGTTCGAGTCGCCTGGGCCTTTCCGGTTCTTGCTTCGACACATGGAGGCCCTTCGATATCTTTCCCGAACCTTCCGATCATACGGCCAAGGTCACCCTAGGTTTTCTTTATATTGTGTTGTCTTTCATTTTATCGTCATTCACTCGTTCACAGTTTCGCCATTGCCCTCCGCGCTACTCGGCAGTCCCATTCATAACAAGTGGCATAAGATTCTTGTACCGTACCGTGTGATGAAACTCTACACTACGCTAGGACTGGCCCATAAATTAATACTACACAGAGATAACTCCCATGCACAGCGCACTGCACAGTCCCAGCTTTGGCAAGCTCCATGTCTCCCTTCCCACCCCTCCCAGGTCCCCAGAGGCACTCAGCCCCAGAAGATGCTCATCCAGCCTGCCCTTTTGAGGGCAGAGGCGTCCTGCCCCCCTGCACTCCACCACATACCCCAGCGACAGGCTGCTTGCAGCACAACGCACTCCACTCCACCACACTGTCATTCACCTGAAGCTGCGCACACTGCACAAGCTCCTCTCCTCCCCTCCCCCACCCCCTACCACCTCCCACACTCCCACGCCCACAGCACACCGCACACGCGGCATGGTCCTCTAGCCCCAGAAAAAGCTCATCCAGCCCTCCTTGTTGAGGCGCAGCGGCGTCCTCTCCCCCTGCACCACCACGTACCCCAGCGACGGCGCGATGTACTCCACCGTCTCACTCAGCTGAAACGGGCCACCCGCCTCCGCCTCGACCTCCCCCTGGTGGCAGTTGGAGTGGATCTGCACGCCTGTCACCACAGCGTAGTCCGCCTTGGACGGGTCCACGGCGGTGGCGATGAGCTTCTCAAGGGTCTCGTTGATTACCTCTACTGCGGCTTTGGTCACTGCCACCAGGTTGGGCTCGGGGTCCTGGGAGTGGGGGAGGGTGGAAAGAGGGAGGGGGGAGTGGGGGGGGGTGGAAAGAGGGGGCCGAGAGGGAGTGGGGGAGGGTGGAAAGAGGGGGGGAGTGGGAGTGGGGGAGGGTGGAAAGAGGGGGGGAGTGGGAGTGGGGAGGGTGGAAAGAGGGGGGGATTGGGAGTGGGAGAGGAGAGGGTGGGAGAGAGGGAGACGGCGGCGATAAGCTCCTGGAGGGAGGTTTCGTTGGTCACTTGCTCGGCAACTTAGGTCGCTGCCACCAGGTTGGGCTACGGGTCCTGAGGTGGATGGGGGGAGGGTGGAGAGGAGGGGGGGAGCGGGAGTGGGGAAGAAGGGGACGATGGGAGAGAGGAGGGATAGCGGTGGCGAACTCCATGGGAGTTTCGTTCATCACTTACACAGTGGCTTTGGTCGCTGCGACCAGGTTGGGCTCGGGATTCTCCGGGTAGTGGGGTCAGGGGGATGGTTATGGGCGAGGGGGAGGGCGAAAGGGGCAGAGAGTGAGAGGCGGGAGCCAGACGGGGAGTGGAGTACCATGAGCATATGGTAAGGGGGTGTTGAGCGCGAGAGGGGCGTTGACGAGTAAAAGTAGGCTGACCTTTAGAGAGTGAAATCTAGTTTTTGTTGTGATCTGGGGAGTTTCGCTTAGTTTACTATAGTCTCATCACAACCTGAAACACCCCGTCACAACACAAGCCCCTCACCGTACCCACCACCCCTCTCACCTTGGCGAGCAGTTTCTTCGTGAGCAGGTGCACTTCCATATCCTCCTCGTCCGCCTCCCCCAGCGTCTTCCCGCTGCTGAACTGCGCCGTCAGAGCCGCCAGCGCGCCGCACGCGCCCGACACATTCGCGCGCCCGCCGCGCCGCATCTTGCCCACGGTGCCTCGCTCGTCCACGCCGATGTGCGTGAATCCGAAAAACACATCTGCAAACACAAGGGGGGAGGAGGGGACGGGGGGGTCGTGTGGAGTGGGAGGGGTTGCGGGAGTGGGCGTGGAGTTGTGGAAGAGATAGACAGAAGAGAGGGAGGTGCGATAAGCAAGGGGCCCGACCATGCCGCGCTTGTCCACACCGATAGGCGTGGATCCGTAAAACACGTCTGGGAAAGAAAGTGGCATGTGGCAAATGAAGGACCCTAACGCGGAGGAAGGAAGAAGAAGACCCCGCTTTGCCGCGAAGCATAAATTCGTAAACCTGAGGACGCAGAGAGGGAGACGAATCCACGCGATGTTTAACGAAGACAAATTTCGATTTCAATGTTAACACTACCGTTCGCCATTCCACGTACATCGCTCGCGGCCGTTCTCGTCCTGCGGGCTGTGCGACGTGCCGGCCTTCACGGCGAGGACGCCACCGGGCGGCACGCCGGCGAGTCCGGCGAGCGAGAAGACGAGCCCGAAGTGCTTGTCGATCAGCGCGTCGAAGAACCGCGACGCCTCGTCGCGACACGTGCTCACCAACGCGATGCTGTTGTCCCTGAAGAGGGGGGGAAGGTGGGAGGAAGGCGGGGGGAAGGCGGGGGGAAGGCGGGGGGGAGGTGGGGGGAGGCGGGGGGAAAGTGGGGGGAAAGTGGAGAGGGAGTAGGGTAGAGAATTTGAGAAGGCGAGAGGAACAGGATTCGGAGGGAAGCTGGAGGGATTGTTGCGCCAGTGGCGCGAAGAGGGTGCAGAACAGGGCTCTCGCTAGGTTTTTCGCCATCTCGGACGATCCGGGCCCCTCGGAAAATAGCCCTGTAAAATCCGACCTCGTAAGAAAAATACCCTGATTCTTCAGGGTCCGTGCTAAAAAAGGCCTGATAGGTCATAACCCATCTATTTTTGCGGGTCAAGATAGTGAGGGTGCCAGTGGGCGACTTCAGGGCGGGAAACCCTCCCCCTCACCAGCACCTAGTATGCTGCAGATGAATCACGCACGTAAAGGTGCTACATTTAGGCCATGGGGCTGGGAAGGAAGGGGGTTTGGTGGGAGGGATGGGGCGAGTCTGAGTGGCGTGAACCATTGTTCCTGGCAGCTCATTTTAAAACCAACCGCAAAACTAAGGGTAGGATGGGAAGGGCAGAGTGGGGTTAAGGGTGAAAGGAAAGAACAGGAAGTTTGACAGATTCCTACACCCCCTGGAGGCAAACTAAAAGATGTCCGGGCCCCTCAAAACCCCCCCAGACTCCTACGGGTTAGTAGATAAATCCCCCTGATTCTCTCAGGGTTGTCTTGAAAAAAAGCCCTTGAAAACACAGGAGTGTCGTCAAACAAACCTTGGATTATTAGTCAAGTCAGGGTAATTACCTGTGGCCTGGTGGCCTGGTGTGGCCTGGTGCAGACCGAGGAGAGAGGGGACGAGGGAAGAGTTTGGCGTATGGATACGAAACAGGATCTAGGGCACATCGCGTTGAAAGCTAGGTACGTTACCTATTAAAGCCGTGCTCGCGCAGTTTTTCCGCGACTGTGTCGATAAACTCCGCCTCCTCCACCGCTCCGCTGAAGTGCTCCTGAACCGCCGCCACTGCCGCGGGCGTCGCCTGCGTTGGCGCGCACGCGCGCAGAGGGGGATGGCCGCGCAGAGGACCATTTCGTAGTCGAATTAAACGTCATCTTGGACGGAGAAGAATGCGAGGAACTGGCGGCGAGGTGAATCTGAATGCTGCACCGTCAACCAAGTCTAGCTTCTTGAATGTGAAAATCACAAGCTGGAGAGGACTGCGTGTTAATCTTCAGGCAAGAAAGGAAATTCCAGAAACAAGACGACAAATGGTGAATTTGACGAGCAAGAGTCTCATGAGGGCATACCTCCTTTGCTATAATGGTGGTCGCCATTGCGTGCGGCGCGGCTGTGCTGCGAGGGTGTCCAATCCAACAGGGGGCAAATCGGTTGAGTGAATGCGGACGTAATTTCTTGACATAGAATGCAATGTCGCGCTGTGAGAGGAATAAATATGTCTGTACGGAGATGGAATGGGGGGCAATGTGGCTGGTTGGTTGGTTGCCCCCACATTGCCTAACATCTGGGGGAGTGGGGGAAGGAGGGGGGAGCGGCGGGAAAAGGCAGGTGAGTGGTGGGTGGGCGGGGCGGGGCGCGGGCGCGTCATTGCTGCCTTTCCGGGTGGCGGAATGCGGGAGGAATGTCGGTGACTGGCGGGTAGGCTCGTCCGTGCGGGGACGGGAAGTCGCAATGGGGCAAGATTTGGCGCGATAGAGGGCGGGTGCCCTGCCCCAACGACCCAGCTCCCCCCATCACATCACGCTGAAGTCCCGCGATCCGAGAGGCGCAATGTGAGGGTTGCAGCCAGTTACAGCACGACAGTTGTATCTGTCCACGATAGCACGTGAAGCAGATCCTCGGGGCAGGTTCCTCAAAACGTTTCCCTATCCGCCCTTCTCAAACAAAAAACTATTGTCCATTAATTTGTACAAGACTTGCAATTAGAGATTCGTATACAAAAGCGCGGGATAATGCAATTTCGTGTCATGTGACGACCGCGAGATTCCTCAAACTATTTGCGTCTTGCGAGGGCAGCACTCTTCCGGAATCTTCTCTAACATCCTTTCAACAGGCATCCAGTGATATTATGCCACATCACGTTGAAAAACCTGAACTGTGATGTTCCTCAGATGGTTGCGCTACAGTCAAAGATATTGCCAGCATGAATTCTCAGGTGGTTCCCTATAACATTTTTTGTAGTCAGCAAGATACAAAATTCTCACACCCTGACACATCAACTATATGATGGTGCGAAAATGGCTGATTTAGGTTGCATGCAAGCGTAGATAGAATACCCAGTGAGAATCAAACTTTAGCTACAAGATATCGTGCCATGTTATATGACAAACCACCCCTCTTCAACTCTTTAGAGCCGCTCAGGGACCCCCACACACAATCTACGGTACTAAGGAAATCGCACTAGCGCAATTGCTACTTAGGCCGTGTATCAAGTGCAAGAAAAGCGACGTCACCCAACGTCCCAGCGCGGTACAGTGCGTTTCCTCACGGTCGGAATGCTTCCTGTGCGTTCGGAGGTGGTGGTGACTCGACATCACACACGTGAAGTCGTACTAATCAGCTACTTGATACACCCCCTTACACACACAACTGCTACTTAGAAAATCGCCTTAGCGCTTGACCCACTGGAAGCTCTTTCTCGCCTTGGCCTTGCCTGGCTTCTTGCGCTCCACCATGCGCGAGTCACGGGTCAGCAGACCGGCTGAGGGGACAAAGGGTAGGGACGGGCGTGGATTAGGGTGGACAGGAAAACAGATGTGTAGACAGTAAAAGCCTGGAGGACGGCAGGACTGCGAGGACAACAAAAAGCACAAGAAGAGACGGGAATGGAATCTGAGCAGTGATGAGGTCAGCTCATGGGCTGCCCTTATAAAAAACGCATAAAAGTGTCGTTCAATCTGCATTTGCTCTCACTCTACCAGTATGCTTCGGGCAAACACTTCAAGCACGGGACTTACACGTTTGTTCAGTACCACTGCATTGCTAGATGAAAAGGCAAGTCCCTGGCAAATAAAACGCCTCCTGCCCATGAGTACCTACCCCTGGCCGTTTGCACTATCCCCAGAGAAATAAACTACGCCAGATAAAGTGGACCTAACCGCAAACTCAGCATCTAAAGTAAAAAAAATCGAAATGAAACGAGTATGATATAAATGTCCGTTGCCTATTCTATGCCGCGCCATGGGCAGGTGGGTGCCAGAACGCGCATGGAAAGTGCAGAGTATCACTGACCTGACTTGAGGGCGGGGCGGTAGGTCGGATCAAACTGCTGCAGCGCTCGGCTGATGCCATGGCGCATGGCGCCCGCTTGGCCTGATGGGTGGGGGGGGGGAGAGAGGAGGGGGTCAGAGGGGGAGAGAGGAGGGGGTCAGAGGGGGAGAGCTTACGAAGGAGGGAGGGATGGGGAAGTAGAAAGGACGAGAGATACAGGAGGGGAAAGGGAGCGGGGGGGGGAAGGGGTGGGTGTGGGTAGGGGGAAACTGGGAGGGATGGAGGGCGCGGCAGAGAGGGAAAAGGGAAGAGAGCGTACGAGGGGTGGGAGAGGGTGAGAGAGAGCGAGGAGGAGGGAATGGTAGAGCAGAAAGCAGGAAGACAGGAAACGGAGAGCGAGAGCGACCTCAGAAGCAGTTGACCGCAAGAGAAGGACAGCTCGCGCTCCCACCTCCCCCCTTCCCCCTGTTCCCCACACATTCACACATTTCCCCCACCGTCTCTCACCTGCGATGCCTCTCACCTGAGATGCCTCTCACCTGAGATGCCTCCGCCTTTCACGGTCGCCTTCACGTCGAACTCCCCCGCCGTGCCCGTTTCCAGGAACGGCTCCAGCATCGCCGCGCGCTGCGACAGATCCGGGAAGTACAGATCCAACGGTCGCCCGTTCACCACCACTCCGCCGCTCCCCTTCCGCAGCCACACGCGCGCAACGCTCGTCTTACGCCTCCCCGTGCCGTACGCGCGCCCCAGCGCGTCCACGCACGCCACTCTCCGCCGCGCAATCTCCGCCTGCTTCTCCTTCTCCGCCTCCCGCCGCGCTGCGCGCGCCTTGGCCTCGTCGTCGTCCGCCAGGAGTTCTTCTAACGGGGGCAAGCCAGGAACGCCGGTGAGATCCCTCATTAGCATCACACTATCGAGCTCCTCATCCGATAAAGTCGCACTCGCTTCCTCGAAAAACTCGTCCGACAGCTCATCCGGAATCCCCTCGCTAAAAAGGTCCTTCACGACTGCAGCCGGCGAGCCTTTCGATACAGTCACTTCGCTCACCTCCCTGCCCTCGCCACCGCTCCCCGCGTCACCAGACTTTTGATTCGGACCGGAAATTCCCGATCTGCCCGAGGGGGGGTCTGCTGCTGCTGCTGTGACACCCCATCTGCCCGCGACGGCGAATGGGGAACCCGAGGAGAACGCGCGCGAGACACAGAGAGAATGGATCGGAAGCAGGTGGCTGTTGAGAGTCCGGGATGGGTAGTAATGGCCGGCTCGGGGAGTGTCGTGGGAGACAATGAATCGGATCTGAGGAGCTCTGCCTCGGAGAGTACGGAGGCTCGGCGCGGGGTTTGGCGCGAGGCTCGGTCGCAGGTTCGGCAAGCTATGAGCAAGGTTGCGTTGGCTGATATGCGCAGTGCTAGTTCTGCTCGCTCCCTCATTGCTCACACTGCTGCTGCCGCCGCTGCGGCTGCTGCGGCTGCTGACGACACGGCTGCTCGTTAACGCAGTAGCTTGGGGCACGGCGGGTTCTCGGGGACGGGTGGTCTGGTGGGAGTGAGAGGGCAAGTCCATAGGCGAGACGACGGCACGCGGGACAAGACTGGAGGCGGCGGCCGATGCGGCGGGAAACGCGGAGGTGGAGGATCCGGCGATGGAGGACGATACGATGGCGTCGGAGTGGGCGCAGCGGCGCGCCACGTGGCTGACGTGGCTTAGTGCCACGCTGGCAAGGCGCTGCCGACACTGGTTCGACATGGCGGAGGAGGGTGTGATAATGAGAGGGTGTCAAAGACGGGCCGAATTTGGTAAGTCTGGTGGATCTGAGCAGAGCGACTCGCCACGTAAGCAGTGAACGACTGATGAACCCAAAAACCGCGCGGGGACTGTCAACTGCGTGAGTCGGTCAGCCAGTGAGGAACTACGTCAGAGGAGCAACGCAAATTGTATTTATGACTAGGAGGAGGTGGTATGGCGGCAGTGGAGTGGAAAGCGAGGAGGGCCCAACCCCGCGCTCGAAGGACCCTCCGTTCCTACGCCGTGGGTTGCGGCGGAGACGAGATAAACGGGGGAAAGCATCGGCACAGCAGGCGTTCTATATGGGAAGGAAGGCTGGTGTATTATGGAGGGAGTAAGCCCAGAGAGGGGTTGGAGATGCAGAAAGTCTTAAAACGAGTTCTAGAGTGGTCGCTGAGCGAAGTGCTCGTGTGCGAAACTACGTGAAGCTCCTCCGTGTGCGATCTGGTAACCAGCCTGACGAACCACGTTTTGGAACAAAATGACAGTCGCCGGTATTCGGTTAGAGAAGCGCTGGCCACATATTTCACACATCCGCTGCTCTCCAGCCGAAGCTTCACTGGTTACCAGATCGCCCAAGCAATCAAAGTTCGTCACCGCACTTCCGCAAGCCATCGCACTGGCCTGGAGGGGGACCTTGTTCAAGTCGGCTCATTGCGGGGTACAGTTAGTCCGGTACGTCTCCATTACGATGTCGGGCACCCGAGCGGAATAAGCAAAATGACACCCTCGAACTATTTCTGATGCTTGAAACGAAATCTTCGGGTAACTGAGGCGATTCAGTCCAACCTTCAGCGTCGTAAACTCCCCCCTGGGGCGGCTGTCCCCGGGCCATACTGGGCAAATCTCGTGGCGCAGAATGACAGAGATGAGGTGGTGCTGCTCAGGTGGTGTTCAGGCGAGCGAGCATAGTCGAGGTGCTGTTAGGTGGTGTTTTCCCGAGTGACTGGAGACGTATCACGGTAACATGCTCGGGTTACGTCGTGAAAGACTGCTTTAGCGTAGTTACATTTCCCTTGATTGTTCGTGAGCCACGGGAGCGGCCTAAAAGCTGCCGCGCATTCGTCGCCGCGCCACGCTTGCACTCACCTCCCCGAGCATGATGGCTCGTCAATTCACTTATATATTCCGCCTTCTCGTAACGCTGGCAGTTTCGAGTGCCATTCTGACGTGCGGTGCCGATTCAAGCGATCGGCAACACAGTGAGCACAGGAGCTACAGCCAGATCGAGGCAGAGGTACCACGCCTCTCCGATTGAATCTCTCTCACCCATCCTTCCGTCATTTCATCCCGTGTTATCCTTGACTCCACGTGGCGACATTGCTCAGCCAATCATACCACCCTTCGGTACCTTCCAGTACTGCCCCCGATTAACTCCGCCAGCCCCCCTTCCGTCTGTCTGTTCTCCCCCCCCGCCCTTCCCCCCCACCCCTCCCCCCACCCCTTCCCCCCTTTTCCCCTCCTTCCCCACTCCCCCATCCCCCCCTCCTCACCAGCAGCAGGAGACCTGCGCAAGGACATGCGCCGAGGTCAAGTGTGAAAGTAAGTGAATACCCTCCGCTAGACACCTCCCTCCCTGCTTACCGTAACCAGGCTCTGGCCCTTACCATTCAGAATTGCCTTTCCCAATCGCCCTTTCCAATCGCCCTTTCCTATAGCCCTTCCCAATCACTCTTCCCAATCGCCCTCCAATCGCCCTCCAATCGCCCTCCAATCGCCCTCCAATCGCCCCTCTGTGCCGTCAGCCATGGCTCTGCGCTACGGCAAGTACTGTGGCGTGGGGTGGGGTGGCTGTCGGGGGGAGGCCCCGTGTGATGACCTGGACGCCTGCTGCAAGAAGCATGATAAGTGCGCTGGAGAGTTTGGTGAGTCTCATGGCCCCTCATCCTCTACTTCCTCCTCTTCCTTTAGGCCGTACATCTGTTCTATTAAGCCCAATACGTATAAGGTCAGTGTGCATGCATCTGTACCTGTTTACCTGCCTATCTGCGTGCTTTGTACTTGATGGTACAATTCTCAACAGCCAAACTCCTCTCGAGCATCTCTCACCTGACTCTTAACACTTTGGCTAGTCTCCTTTTCTCCCTCGAACCCTCCCCTTCTCCCACTCCCACCACCAACCCAATTCCCCCCCCCCCCTCCCCTCCTCTCCCCCCTTAATCTCCTACACCTGATGCTGTGCAGGTATTCAGGCAGTTCAATGCCACAAGAAGTTCAAGAAGTGTATGCTGAAAGTGCAAGCGTCGGGGAAGACAGGATTCTCCACCAGGTGCCCATATGAAAAGGTCATTCCCATGCTTGTACACGGGATGGATCTCGCAATTACCCTCTCCCAGTTTGCTCGAGGCCAAGGTATAAGTGCCTGAGCTGCGAATTCTGCGGTGCTTGTTTTGTTAGCGGGTACAAAGATGATGTATGATGGAAATGTTGTTGGATACTACGGTAAGATAGCTAACTTCAACGAGGACCATGTAAGGGAAGGGACTAATGAAAGGCAATGATTCGGCCCACCAACAGTTCATTTTCTGCATTGCCTGTGTCATCATGCCACTGAGTCGTTCACTAAAAACATGTACCACACTTCAATAATGGCCATCTTCCACGACTTAAGTATCGTATCCAAACTGAAGAGTGAATGGCTGGTCAGCCATAACATAAGTTTGCGAAATCGACGGCGATAAACTTCCATCGCAAACTTGCCACCCTTGCGTTTTAGCAGACTGCGATCCCGTATAACGAAAAGCGTCGTAAAGTCGCGCCCTCGTCGCAGCGCAACGATCACCACCCCCACACCAACCCTTCCCACGACAGTTCTGGCGGTGCCAATCTTTGAAAATGGTTCCGACCAATCCCGCCGACAATGCTCGTTTCCGTTTCTTTTGTTCGGTGCGGTACACGATAAACTGCACTTTCTCGCACGCACTCCTCTTCCCAATTGCAGTTTCTTTCGCATGAGACCCACCGAAGGTCGCAAAACGTGCAGGAGCAATCGGAACAGCCCGCGGATACAGCATAAATACACCCGGGCAGTTCCTCCGAAGATTGTGACAGAATCTCCATCCCCAGTGGTTGCCGTGTTTGGATGGTCCCGTCCAAATTTCCGGGCCAAGGCGAGACTGGTGTTCCACTAGCCAATCATTGGCATATCCAGCATGTTTTAGCTGCCCGCCCCTCTCGCCGGTCAGATTACAGACCTGGTTTCTAGTGAGACCTTCCCCTGTTTCTGACGGCTGGTCTAACCTACCCGCATCGCGGCGCGGTGTGCTTTCAAGGCCTGGTTTCTCTTCTAGTTTGTTGACTGCTCTACACCACTGTAGCATCCGCGTTGTGTGCGTCAGAGAGTACAGTAGGAGAGTTTTATGCGCTCCGTATGAATCTGCACCAGTCTGAATGGTCCCTCCCACCGTATGTTCCCAACCAACCCCATTTCCTTCAGCACAGCGCCGTTCCATGCCACTTCCATGTTCTCGTTCTCGCGTCGCCTTTTTAGGGCGTCGTCGTTGTGCAGTAGGAGGGTTCCACCATCTACCAAACGACGTCAGCAAGTATGCTGCAGATACCTGAGGCTCGCTGGCTAGGAAGCGGGCACTACGTCAGCTCAGTAACATTTTCAAATCACGTCCTCGTTACGCGTAATCGCATCGCGGCCCGCGTCCACTTATGCCGTGGGTAAATCTCACATGCAACCCAATCCGCCGCCATCCCGTCGCATTTCCGGGCCACCGTATTCCAAATCGTGACGTTACCCACTCGCGAACTCGCGTGCGCTCGTTTTCCGGCGCACCGTTCCCTAACTAACCGTCAACGACTTACGCTGGAGGCCAATAATATTAATAGCAGTCTGCGATTAGAGTCCGTGTTCTGTAGTCAGCTTTCCTCAGACATTCGGGATCTATCGCTACGGGTGTGGATACGAGCGGGGTGTTACACGGGCGACTTAAGCGCGAGATAATGTGCCTGACTCATAACAGCTAATTTACTGAATAAATCAGAGCCCTAGGATTCTAGGAACCCCCCAGAGCAGCTCTCTCGTCCAAAGCGACCGGCCGCCAGAGCGTTCGTTGCGGCGTGCATTGCTGTGTTCGTTGCGGCGTGCATTGCGGGCGCTGTCATCCCAAGATGGCATCCTCGCGTACCACCACGAAACTGCCGCTGCTGCCGCCGCCGCAGCTGTCGCAACTGCCGCTGCTGCTGCTGCTGCTGCTGCTGCTGCTATCGGCGGTTGCTCTGCCAGGCCACGCCTACTATCCGTCGAATCGCATACACTTCGGCGGTCGCTTTAGGTTCAAGCCCTTGGCCAGTAGCTCGAACCCGCCGCCCACGCTGATGAGCGCCACGGCGTGCATCTACAACCCCAGCTCGAAGAAGTTCACGCGGACCACCATCAACCCCATGTTGTAAGCGATTTTTGTCGTCGAGGCGCCTACAGGATAGATCAGGCGGACCACCGTCAACTTCATGTTGTAAGCGACCCTCCCGTTATGCGCACGACCCTCCCGTTATGCGCACGACCCTCCCGTTATGCGCACGACCCTCCCGTTATGCGCACGACCCTCCCGTTATGCGCACGACCCTCCCGTTATGCGCACAACCCCGTGTTGTAAGCGACCCTCACGCATGTCCCACTGCTGCTATTTCCAGATTCCGAACAAAACTCATTGTTTTCCACCCTCCTCCTTTCCCCCGATCGCTCCCCCACCCATCCTCCGCATTCCGCCCGTGCTTCCGACTTCCCCCCAGCCGCACGCTCACGACGATGGACGCGTGGGCGCCGGCGCAGGGGCAGCGCGGGATGAACGGCAACTGCCAGTTCCTGCTCACGTCCACGTGCGGCATATCGTCCACCAAGCCAAGTGAGGACGCTGACGTGGCGCGCGGTGCACCGTGCGATGTGACGTGGGAGAAGAGCGTTTCTGGTTTTCAATGTTGTCCAAAACTCACACCTTTGCCAAGTACCTCCTGGCCCCGCTGCCAGTCGACACCAAATGGCTAATCGTCCCTCTCGTCTCTCCCCTCTCGTCTCTTCCCGCCGACCCGCGCGTACTTTCCGAACGTACCGCTCTCCGCTCCCCCAGACCGCTGCAACGACGGCAATCCGTGCACGGAGGACGTGTGCGTGTGGCGCGGCAATCGCTCCGCCGCCGTGTCCGGCTGCGTGCCGTGGCCGGCCTGCCACTTCGCGCCCGCCGTCTGCACCAATACGCCCATCCCCTCCTGCGCGCCTCCTCCGCCGCCACCTAAGAAGTCCCCCAAACCGCCCAAATCTCCGCCTCCCCCCAAGTCGCCAAAACCGCCCAAGAGCCCCCCCGGATCGCAGTACCCCTCCCCTCCGCCCAGCCCTCCGCTTCCACCTCCCTCCCCTCCCCCTCCATCTCCCCCCCCTTCCCCGCCATCTCCGCCCCCTTCCCCCCCGTCTCCTCCATCCCCTCCTCCGTCGCCTCCCCCTCCCCCCTCCCCCCCATCTCCCCCATCGCCCCCGTCACCTCCCCCTTCCCCTCCGCCCCCCGCGGGTCTCTTCAGCGCGCTATCCTACGGGGCGAAGGGGAACGGCGCGAACAACGACGCGGGGGGGATCGTGGCGGCGTTTAAGGCGGCGTGCAGCTACGCGGCGGCGACCAGCTCGCGCGCGACGGTGCTGCTGCCGGGGGGCTACACTTTCCTGCTGTCGTCCGCCATCCGGCTCGAGGGGCCGTGCGGGGTCAGCAGCAGCGGCGCTGCCATAACCATCCAGGTGCGTGCGCTGCTGGCTTGCTCCTATGCGCCCTCCCCTCTTCCCTCTCTCCCTCCCTCCTTCCCTCCCTCCAAACACACAACCGTGCCCACCACATACACGAATGTGCACGCACGCGCACACAGGGGGGGCAACCAACCAACCTGATGCCCAAGACCTCGCCCGCCACACCCTCCCCCCTCCCTCCCCCCCCTCCTCCTCCCCCAGATCGACGGCACGCTGGCGGCAAACCCCATTCCCGAGGCCATCAGCTACAGCGTGGACGCCATCGTGTACCTCAACCGCCTGGACGGGCTGCGCCTTGTGGGCGTGGGCACGGTGGACGGGCAGGCCGCCACGTGGTGGAGCCGGTTCCGCGCCGGCAAAAGCACGGACCGCCCGGACCTGCTGTACATCCAGCGCTGCAACAACCTTGAGATCGCCGGGCTCACGATCAAGTGAGTTAACAGAGGTCGCGGTGCTCCTCCCCCTGTTTCCAGTTTCTCGCTCTCTGTACTCTGGTCCCCATTCATACTCTCCTCTCCTCTCCTCTCCTCTCCTGCTCCTCATACCAGGAACCCCCCAATGTTCCATCTGGGCATCAAGGGCTTAGTAGGGCTGTCTGTGGGTGAGCCACGCACTGTCTCTCTTCCACCACCCACCCACCCACCCACCCACCCATCCATGCTCTTCGCCCCCGCGCCCCTCCTCTCCTGTCCTTCGCGCTCCCCTCTCTCTCTCCCTCCCCACCTCCCCATGGCAGGAACCCCCCCATGTTCCATGTGAGCATAAAGGACCTGGTGGGGCTGTGGATCCACCATGTGACCACGGACAGCCCATACAACAGCCCCAACACCGACTCCATCCACCTCACCCGCATCCAATACGGGCTCATCGAACACTGCTCCATCCATGGCGGTGCGCTCTGCTCGCTCCCCCCCCCCCTCCCTCCCCCCCCCCAAAAACCCCCGCCTCTCTCGCTCCCTCGTTTTTTGTTTTGTTTGTTTGTTTTTTTTTGTTTGTTTTTTTTTCTTTCTTGCTTTTTCCTCTCGCTCGCTCACTCGCCATTAGTTACCACTACCTTCAGCTACTCACTCACTTCCTCCCTCCACACCCCTCCTCCTCCCCCTCTCCCTGGCAACGTCTCCATCAAGCACTGATCTCTCCACTCTCTGCCTCCTCACCTCCACCTGCTCACTCCGCTCATCCCTTCCCTTCTCTTTCCCTGTACGTTCTTCCCCCCTCTCCAACCCACCCCCCTCTTCCACCTCCTCCCCCCCCCCCCCCTTCCCTCCCCCCCAGGCGACGACAACATATCCATCAAGGACGGCGTGCACCACCTGCTCATCCGCAACGTGCTCTGCACGGCAGGCCACGGCATCAGCATCGGCAGCCTCGGCATCGGGGGGGTTCTCAACTGCGTCTCCAACATCACCGTCCAAAACAGCGTGCTCATGTCTCTTTCCAACGGGCTCCGCATCAAGACGTACCAGGGGGGGCAGGGCGCGGTGTGGAACATTCGCTACGAGAACGTGACTATAGCGGATTGCTCCAATTCCGTTATAATCACGCAGTACTACTGTGATAAGAACAACGTTGGGCCGGAGGGGTGCACCATCAAGCCGGCAGCACTGGGACTCTTCAACATCTCTCTCACAAACGTTACCGGGTACACCAACGGCACTACAGGGATCAATTTCAACTGCAGCGACAGCGTGCCGTGCCAGCATATCAGCCTCCAAGATATCGCTATTACGTCCTCTCGCGGCCGCATTCTACTCCCCAACTACCGGAGCGCGTATGGGACAGCCACGCGCGTGCTGTCGCCCCTTCGCCCCGACAACACGACCTTTGTGGAGGGCGGGATTCCGGCGGCTAAGGCAGCGGCGTTCATGGCTCAGATCGCCAAGTGCGGGTACGTTACAATAATCTCCCAACTAGTTTGTTATGTTAATTCAAAAGCAGTTCTTTCCAGCAGGGGACGGCGCATATGAGTGTTTGCGCCTACACATCCACACGCCTAGCAATCCTGCCACCATACCCTGACATGTGCCAAGCTCCCCACAATCCTTCCTACCTCCCCCACTTCAATATCGCCTTGTCATCAATCCCGCTTGCCTCTCTTGTCTTCCACATCCCCCCCCCCCCGTGCAGGGTAACACAACCTTGGAGCTTCTCCCCACCTCCACCTGTAGCCCCTCCATCCTCTCCCCCTCCAAATCCCCCCCCTCAACCCCCCCCATCCCCTCCACCAACCCCTCCCCCCTCACCACCTTCCTCCCCTCCACCAACCCCTCCCCCCTCACCACCTTCCTCCCCTCCACCAACCCCTCCCCCCTCACCACCTTCCTCCCCTCCACCAACACCCCCACCTTCTCCACCTTCGCTCCCCTCTCCCCCCCCTCCCGTGTAAGGGATACTCGTGATGGGACAACAAGAATAGCATGTATGGTGTGGATAGTAAAGAGGATGCTTTGATGTTGGAAATGGCTACTTCGGGTTGGACATTTGGTGTGGCAGTTGGGAGGTGGATGTGCACCGATAGTGCACTGGTGAATAATCCTGTATCGTTGACTTGGTTTGGTTGTGCAGCCGAGACGCTGTGCAACATTTTGATGTCAGATGATTTGCATAACTTGAGATGATGTGGCTGAATGTTTAAAACCCAGGTCCCAAATTAGTCACGCATGTCAATCTTAAAGCTGAGTAATGAAATGATTAGAGATCATGGGTACTGAAGTAAATCGTCTGGTGTTGTAGTAGACTAAGTATAAAACTACAGACACGAGTATTTAACCAAGGATCTTTGCTGGAATGGTAGACTAGTAAGACAGCGGAAGTCTTATCAGAGTGAACTTGAGCACATGAACTTGTGGGTAGTCGAAGGTTGAATATCCTGAGCACATAATTCTGTGTAAAGTCAAGGTTGATAATAGAAAGGCATTACAAGGATTTATATCTCTAGGGAAAGTACCTATTCGCTAATGTACCTGTTTGTCACTATCGCGCTATGCGACCTATTCGTCATACTATAGGGTCGCGACTGTTCGCGTGACTGAAACGGTTCGTTACGCCTAATTGCGTAACTGAAGCGGTATGCTGAGGTCATGCCGAGACCAGCGATGCTTTGCTGACATCAGCACTCGGGCATGATCACTTACTGAGAAACTCGATACTGCTAACTACACTGTAAACGGAACTTGCAGGAATGCAAAACTTCAATTATCACAACACTCCCCTTCATTCCTGGAAGTTCGATGTAGTCACGTCGTGGTTGGAGTTCGGCGAATGAAATCTGCAATTTGGAATCTTGTGACGTGTAAACTTGATGTGCTGTAAGTAGTCGGCGGTCATTCCATTGGTCAAATGGTAGACCAATCGCGCTCTTCCCTTGTTGATAACGAATTTTGGCTTTGACGAAGTGCGTGTAGATCCTCCTTCCCCCCCTCACTTCGGCAGAGTAAAAATGAGTCGTGTTGAAAATGGTTGGGGTTGCGCCAATGAAAGTGGCAAGGCCGAAGGGTATGAATGCAAAAACACGAGAGTGTTGCACGTGGTGTAGAGGAGGCTCGACATCTGTTGGAGGCTTAAAAAAGAACAGTGAAGTAACGGGCAGATCTGATGGTGCAGTTTCGGGCAGAGAAATTCGCTGAGTCAGCAGTGCACGCAGCTGCTCACGTAGCTCGTGTAGGGCACTGTTCAACCCTTCTGCTCCGTTGCATTCTTGAACGCGATGATGAAGGTTTTGATGACGAGTGATGCCGATGCTTTGCTCGTAGTCGTTGGAGGTCGTAGTGTGGTAAGCGGCTGCTCTGTAGTATAGGAAAGTCTGCAGCGGGGTACGAAGCTCGCTTGCTGCTATGGCCAGCCAAGCAAGGAGTAAGACGGTGAAATATGAAGGAAGTAAAAGCCTTGATAGTGCATAACCTTTCTCAGATAGAGTGGTAGTTGAAGATGTTTCTGCAGGCTTGTCGAGACTGGTTGTTGAAGAATTGTCAGAAGGTTTGTCGAGAGTAGTTGTAGCGTCGAAGAAATTTTCAGGAGCGGTTTGCAGGGTTTCCTCGTGTTCTTGACTAATATATTCCTGGATATTAACGGCAGGTGTGTCGGCAAGGATGTCGATGGTGCTGCTACTCGGAGTTTCTTCTTCGTTGCTGCTGAGTTCAATCGGTGGAACGGTCACCAAAGCGGCGGCTGCGATGATTGATGGAGCTTGCAGAGGAGCGGTATCTTCAGAAGGTTTTGCGGCTTTGACTCGTAAGACGAATACGCCATTTTTTGTTGCTGCTCTTCCGATGTACGTGTTGTCCACGTCATGTACTAACTCTTGCTCCTGTGTCGTGCAGTTTCCGACCGTTGGCGAGTGTGATTGGGCAGGGTTGAAGAAGTCGACGACGGTTGTAGATGAAAGGATTTGTTGAAGAGACCATATGATGGCCACAACAACTATCCAAGTACCAAGTATCGGTATCTGTACTGCAATTGACCATGTGAGTGGATGAAGTAGGTAAACGAAAATTTGAAGTTACCGTATTAGTGGCAGAGTTTGAATTATTTGCTGTCGGCTTTGATGAGTTGCTTGGAGGGGCAGAACTGAGTGTCGTTGGTGGTGTTGATATTGCAGATGCTGATTTTGGAGGCATAGGCTGCTGCAAAAACTGCTTCGAAGGCTGTCGTCGGTGCTGTAATGATTGCGACCTCTGCGTTTCTTCAGGAGGTAAATACCGCTTGTTAAAGTAGCATCGGTCGGTAGAATGTCCTCCCTTGTTGCAAATTTGACAGAAGTGTCGAGGACGTCGAGTTGGTGTTGAATAGAAACTGAGTTGTATATCTCCCTGTTTGTTGCGTTGTGACTGCAGGTCAAGATCTTGCTGCTCCGCTTGAAGATAAGAAGAAATTTCAGCTTCGGAGAGGTTCGGATTCATGCGCAGGAAGGCGCGCGTCTGTCACCATTCGGGTCCAAGACCAGCCAGAAGGAGCGTGAGATACATCTCACGAGGGAAGTATCCTCCGCTCTTTTCAAGTTGATCGCGTAGTGTACGGACGCGATTGACGTAGTCCATGACGTTTTCGTTTGTCATCATCTGCACACTTGTCAGTTGCGAAAGTATTTTACTCACTGTTATCGTATCTTTTGCCATGTATATCCCTTTCAGATGATTCCATGCAGTTTCGGCTGGTGTGAAACTTGAGTGAAAAGATCGAACGCCGAGCTGCTCCTTCGGCGACAAGTTCCGTACAAGAACTGTATATGCCCCGAGAGAGGCATGTAAAAAACTCTGCTGTTCCAGTTGTGTTCCCGCGACAGGGTATGTAAATTCACCAGTGAAGAACGGCCATAATCCAGCGGACTGCGCCAGAAGCTCGAACTCGAAGCTCCAGGAGTAGAAATCAACACCATTGAAAGGTACGGTTGTCTTGATTTGAGTATTGTTAAGTAAGTTTGGAGGTTGAAAAACGATGCCTGGCTGTTGCTGTTGTTGCTGTTGTTGCTGTTGTTGTTGCTGCGGTTGTTGTTGCTGCTGTACTGGTTGTTGTTGCTGATACTGTTGCTGTTGTTGTTGAGCAGGAGAACGACCGAAGATATAAAAAGGATGCTGAAACTACTGCGACTGAGGCTGCTGTACGAAAAGTGAGAAAGCGAACGAACCAGTACTTGGAGCTGTAGCTCCACGCAAGTAACTTGAGCCATCAAGGCTCATTCCACTGAATGCAGACCACCACCAGCGCCACCCGGCACACCACCACACACACGACCACCACCAGCGCCAGGCCACCCAGGCGGGAGGGCACTCGCCTGCCTCGTCTGCGGCGGCGACTGCGGCTGCTGCGGCTGCTGCGACTGCTGCGGCTGCTGCGTCTGCTGCGGCTGCTGCTGCTGCTGCGGCTGCTGGGGCAGCTGCTCAGCTGGACCTGGCAGGGTCCCCTCGTCTGCTCCACCACCAGACGACCTGACTCCACCACCACCTCCGCCGCGCCCAGCCTTGGGGCAGCGGCCCTTCCCCGGACGGAACTGCGCTGAAGCGGCGGTCTCAGCCACAGCTGCAGAACCATCAGAGAAGGTGCACTGATCGGGGGTACAACCCTGAAAGATAGGGACCGGCACAGTACCGCTCGCCTGGGCGATAGAGCAGTGGCGGGTCTCAATAACAATCAGGGTGTCTACAAAAACTGTGAGGGTGAGGTCACCAGGGTGAATGCTAAGGAAGCGGTCACGAGCAGCGGCAAGGCGGTCAGGGAGGTGGGTGGCAAGCAGGTAGAGGGTAGAGGTAAGGGGCGGCTGGTGGGCTCTAAGCTGTGCGTCAGTGCAGGCAGCACGCCAGGTTTCATCTATCGTGCGCAGGTGGGCAGCCAGGTCAGTGACAGTGGGGAAAGACGCAAGGTCAGGAAAGAGCATTGGTAGGATCAGGCGACCTACCGAGGCAGCAGGCGGGGCGGAATAGCGCTGGATAACAGCATCTAAGAAAGCCTGGGCGGTGGTGATCGACCTAAAGCGAGGACGCTCAGACGGGGGGAGGGCATTGCTAATGGCAAGCTGGGCGACAGCGTCACAGGAAAGCCAGACAGAGCGAACGAGGGCAGCGGCCGCAGTAGACTCGCGCTCAGCAGGTGTGGGGTCAGCGGGCAGCACAGCAGGGGGGTCTGGGCAGGGAAGTGTACCGTCAAGTTGTGCCGAGAGCGGGTGGCCATCCTGCCGCTGACCAGTGAGGTGGCGGCGGAGGTCAGCTAGCCAGGCCTCAAACTCCAGAGGCTGGCCTTCAGCGTCGAAGCGAAGCTCCGCCGCCATCAGGAACAGTGCAGGGCAGTACAGTGCAGTGCAAGGCGGTACAGTGCGGTGCAGCGCGGTACAGTGCGGTACAGTGCGGTGCAGCGCGATGCCGTGCAGTGCAAGGGGGGGTGCAGTGCAGTGCAAGGTGATGGAGAACCGTACGAGGGAGAGTGCAGTGCAGTAGCAGGCACGAAGAGCGGGCCACACACAGATCGGCGACAGTCCGGCGGTAAGGTGAGCACGGGGCCGGAGATCGACGGGCAGGGCGCGCGCAGGGGTCGGCAGAATGGGCGCGGGGGCCAGTAGCGGCGGGCGCCGGGCCGGCGAGGACGGGCGCAGCGGCCACGTAGGACGGCGCGGGGCCAGCTAGGACGGGCCTGGGACGGGCGCGGGGCCGGCTAGGAGGGGCCTGGGACGGGCGCGGGGCTGGCTAGGACGGGCGCGGGGGCCTGTAGGACGGGCGCGGGGGCCAGCTAGGACGAGCGCGGGGGCCTGTAGGACGGGCACGGGGCCGGCTAGGACGGGCGCGGGGGCCTGTAGGACGGGCGCCGGGGCCAGCTACGATGAGCGCGGGGGGCCGGCTAGGACGGGCGCAGGGGCCGCTAGGAGGGGCGTGGGGCCGGCTAGGACGGGCGCGGGGGCCTGTAGGACGGGCGCGGGGGCCAGCTAGGACGAGCGCGGGGGCCTGTAGGACGGGCACGGGGCCGGCTAGGACGGGCGCGGGGGCCTGTAGGACGGGCGCCGGGGCCAGCTACGATGAGCGCGGGGGGCCGGCTAGGACGGGCGCAGGGGCCGCTAGGAGGGGCGTGGGGCCGGCTAGGACGGGCGTGGGGGCTGGTAGGACGTGCGCGGGGGCCACTAGGACGAGCGCGGGGGGGCCGGTAGGACGAGCGCGGGGCCAACTAGGACGGGCGCGGAAGCCGTGAGGACGGGCGCGGGGCCAGCTAGGACGGGCGCGG